AAAAAAAAAAAAGAAATTGAAAACAGACTTTATGGGCGTTCTTTGCTTTGAAAGAACACTGGGCGGATCCAGACTATCGCAACTTTGTCCAGCGTAAACGTAACTACATCGCTGACACCAATATGTATCCTTCCCATGACTCAACAGTTTGATACACAACGATGCAAATGATTCAATCATTACCATATGTCTTCAGTCAAACCACCAGGGTTGAAGGCAATAAAATCAGCCGTCTAAAGCAATCTGAAAGAAACTGGAGAAAAACTCTGATTCATATCCTAAAGGGACTGAATTGTACAGAAGGGCAAAAGAAAAGACACGGTGCATCTAAGGCCATAGAACATGAGTTTGGAATATATAAATTACATATAGTGGCCTCAAAAGAACTATTTACATATAGAAAAATATACAACACGTTTAAATACACTCAACTATTATACTGAAGGTGGACCTCTACTGGAGAACCATTAGGATAGCAAGGTTCTCTTCTTTCGCAGGTTTCTCTTTATTCTATAATCACTTGCCCTCCAGAGGATTTACCCCTCCTTCATGACCAGGCCATTTTTGTTGCGATACGGCGCTGCATTACTTTAACTGACAATTGCACGGTCATGCAACGCTGCACCCAAATTAAATTTACGTCCTTTTTTTCCCACAAATTGAGCTTTCTTTCGGTGGTATTATTTATTTATTTATTTCAGGTACTTATCTAGCGCCTTCCATTTACACAGCGCTTTACACATATATATTGTACATTCACATCAGTCCCTAACCCTCAAGGGGTGTACAATCTAAGGTCCCTAACTCACATTCATGTACAAGGGCCAATTTAGACAGGATCCAATTAACCTACCAGCATGTCTTTGGAGGGTGGGAGGAAACCAGAGTACCCAGAGGAAACCCACACAGGCACAGGGAGAGCATGCAAACTCCAGACAGGAGGTGCCATGGTTGGGATTCGAACCAACGACCCTACTACTGCCAGGCGGAAGTGCTAACCATTTAGCCACTGTGCTGCCCGTTAGCTTGCCTGTGTGTTTTTTATTTTTTTGCGCTTTAAAAAAAAAAGATTTTGAAAAAAATTATTTTTGACTTTTTGCTATTAAACATGTCCAGTAAAAAAATTTTAAAAAAATTAATTTTGTCATAAATTTAGGCCAAAATGTATTCTGCTGCATGTCTTTGCTAAAAAAAAAATCCAAATACATGTAAATTAATTGTTTCACATGAAAGTTATTGCATTCACAAATGGTGGTATATATACTGGGATTTTTTTTTTTCAATTTTTACAAGTAATGGCGGCGATCAGCGACTTATAGCGGGACTGCAGCGGGCATTCTGACACCGGAGGGAAATGACTTGATGTTAAAAACTGACTAGGGGAACTGACTTTGGTCCTAAATAAACACGCTGACCCTGTACTAATGGCACTGGGCAGGAAGGGGTTAATATGAGGCGCGATCTGAGTGCTGGGTATATTTTACTGTGGGGCGGTTTTGTTTGTGCTTCACTGTAAGCACACTGCTTTGTATGGCTGAGCTGTGCACAGCCATGCAAAGCAGTGTGCATGAGCTGATATGGAGAACTGTTTTGTTTACAAACAGTTCTCCTCCCCATTGGAGATCCTCGGGCAATCACCGGGCACCAGCGGGTAATCACTGGCTGGGACCCGGTGTTTGCCAGCTGCGGCTGCAAACGGCGGACCGGGTAGGGCACGCTCACGCCTTGCGCATGCCCCCTACCTAGAAATGCAAAATCACATATATGATTTTGCGCACCTGTGCCGCCTTGTAGCAGTATTTCTGCTATAGGGCGGTCGGAAGCTATTATTATTATAAACATGCCCATTGCGTTTAGTAGGACCGCACCACAACCACGTGCAATGCATGCATTTGCAGCACAGTAGTGTGGCATTAGCGGGTAAGATCAGGCGGTGAGGGAGTATTATAACACCTCCTGTCAAAAGCCCTCTATAAAGCGATCTAAGTGTTGTTTGCTCTTCAGAAGGCACTGCACTCTATAGAGTGTGACAGAGCCTTTAAAGTGTTACTAAACCCACAACCGTAAAATCAGTCTGTATATATGCAGTAAAGCATGCTTGTTATACTCACCATGGAACCTAAGGGGTTAATGCTTTGCATTGTGAAAAAAGGCTGTTTGATCCTGTCTTTTCTGATCCTCCCCTTCTTCCACAGTCCACAATCCATCTGCTGATAGTACAGAGCTCTAGGAGCCACTCTGTAAATGCTCAGTTTGGTGTATATTGCTAGAGAGTTTTTTTTTTTTCTTGAGATCACCACAGGGCATATCAGCACTGTCCAGACAGAAGGTCAGGGGTCCTGCAGCCTCATAGGACAATCAGGGGAGAATGAAAACTCCTCCTACAAGCTTTAACCAGTGCTCTTGTTATGGACCGACCGATGGTAGCCTCTAGCGCTACACAGACCGGGATTCCCCAGGAAGCGGAATCTAAGTCCCGAACCTGCTTGTTCACCAGAGCCCCTGGTGGTGGGGATGGACTTGGAGCAAGCCGAAACCAGGTCGTGGCCTCTGGGTGCAACCAGCTGTGGTAGAAGCACTTGCCGGTGGTACCTAGCAGGTGAGAGCCTGATGTGAGGAGGCGGAGTGAGCGAATTCAGATAGGCCAGGTCGGTAACGGTGGAGGCAGGACGGTACAAGCGGCAGGCAGGAGATTAGACGGGTCACGGTCCAGGTTCGGTAACAGGAGATCAAACGTACAGGATTAGACAGGAGAATGGTCAGACAAGCCAGGGATCAGAGCAGGAGACAGTCAATGGATCAGGGTCAGGCAGGGTCGGCAACAAGGCAATTTCTCAGGACACAGGATACAGGAAAAGACCATACGGCAACTTGAGCATATTTAGTGTCTGTTTAAAAAGGGCGCCCTGCACTCTCATTGGTGCCAGGCGTGCGTCCACGATCATGAGTGTGCATGCTCAACCGCCGTTGCCGTCACGGGGGCGCCCAGGTCCTAGTGCCCGCACGCGGTACAGTCCAGGGTTCCTGGCAGCTCAGCTGGACACTGATAGAAGTCACAAGACTGCTCTAACTGCTGATGAGAAAAGGTATTTAGCAGTTTATATTTAGTAAAATAATTGCATTTCCATGTTCTGTGTACTGTGGGAAACCAGATATAGTGAATGCAGGGACCGGGGTTTAGTAGCACTTTAAGGATATTGACCCGCTTTATTTGTCCTCTTTACAGTTATCAACAAAAGTGAAAGTAAAAGAAAATCCCAACTTCTGGGTTGTAACCACAACAGTAATAGAGGGGAAATATTCCAAAGAGGACACAAGTTGATGATTCTGGTGACAATCAGAGATTCTCTCACTTTTTAGAGATTTCCTCTCACTTCCTGTTTTGACTATGGGACAGGAAGTGAAGGGAAATATCCCCAATGTAAACAGATTAAAAATGAATGTAAACTGATGAAAACGGACGAAAACAAATGTAAACTGATGGAAAACGGTGTACAAGGATGAAAAACAGATGAAAATACTGATGTAAACTGATGAAAAGCGAAGGTAAACTTATTAAAAAACTGATCATAAACAGATGTAAAACAGATAAAAATGAATGTAAATGGACAAAAAATGGATGAAAACGGATGAAAACAGATGTAAACGGACAAAAATGGATGTAAACAAATGTAAACAGAAGAAAAAATGATGTAAACGGATGGAAAACTGACTAAAACTAATGTAAATTGACGAAAAACAGATGTACATGGATGAAAACGGCCAAAAACGCATGAAAATGGACAAACAAATGATGTAATTGGACAAAACTAGATGTAAACGGACAAAAACAGATGTAAATGGATGAAAACGGATGCAAACAAATGTAAACAGTCTAAAAATGAATGCAAACTGATGAAAACGGATGAAAACAAATGTAAACTGATGGAAAATGGATGTACAAGGATGAAAAATGGATGAAAAAATGATGTAAACTGATGAAAAACAAAGGTAAACTGGTTAAAAAAATTATGGAAAATGGATGAAAACAAATGTAAATGAATGAAAAATGGTGTAAATGGATGAAAACGGACAAAAACAGTTGTAAACGGATGAAAACAGACAAACAACTGATGTAAATGTAGACAAAGTATGTAAACGGACAAAAACGTATGTAATTGAATGAAAACGGATACAAACATGTAAATAGACTAAAAATGAACGTAGACGGATGAAAACGGACGAAAATGAATGTAAACAGATGGAAAACGGATGTACAAGGATGAAAAACAGATGAAAAAACTGATGTAAACTGATGAAAAGCAAAGGTAAACTGATTAAAAAAACTGATCAAAAACAGATGTAAAACAGATCAAAACAAATGTAAATGGACAAAAAATGGATGACAACGGATGAAAAATGGATGAAAAACCTGATGTAAACTGATGAAAAATGGATGTAAACTGATAAAAAAAAAACAGATATAAACTGATGAAAAAAGGATGTAAACTGATCCGTTTTTGCTTGGAAAAAACGTGACAACTGATGAGAAAAATGGAACGCCTGTGTGAAAGGGACCTAATTCACATTGACTTGCTTGCCCTGGACGTTATACTGCTTCCCAGCACAGGATGGGATCCTAGTCCATAGCAGCTATGAGGCAGAGTGACAGGTTCTCTTTACATCCCCATCTCTGTAGTGGAAGGCTGCTTGGAACTGGCAGATAACACCTCTGCTTGTGTCTGGAGCCTGCAGATAATTAATCAAACAGCTGCAACAGAGCAAATGTAGTATTATGTTGTAATTCCTAACATTTGTCCAGACGCTGGCAGACTCAGCAAGAGACAGGCTGCTTCATTTACTTAATGAGGTGCTCTGTATGTTCATATACATGTCACATGCAGGGGTGGACTGACAACTCATGGGGCCCCCGGGCAATAACGGATCATGGGGCCCCTGTGTCCTCGCCCACACCCAAAAAAGCCTATTAAAAAGCCAATGAAAGGTACCAGGGGCATCTCATGGGGCCCCCTACTGACCCCGGGCCCTCGGGCAGTGCCCAAGTTCCTGAATGGTCAGTCCGCCCCTGGTCACATGATTAATAAGAATACATAACGTGTCATATAGATTTGTAGTTAAAGTAGAATGAAAGGCAAAACAGTTTTTTTTTTGCTTTGGATAGAGTGGTGAGGGATTAGAACACCTATTACGTTTTTATTGCTGTCTGTGCCCCCCTCTAAGGAGATTCACCCTCTCTATTTATCCTATTTACAATTTTCATCGAAAGTGAAAGTACAGGAAACCCCAAATTTTGGGTTATCCCCAGAAAAATAATAGAGGAGAAATTTTCCAATGGGGACACTAGTTCTGGTGATCTGGGGGTCCCCAAGGAATTCCCTTAATTTGGAGGGATTTCCTCTTACTTCCTGTTTTGGGTATGGGGCAGGAAGTGAAGAGAAATCCCTCCACTTTGATCCAGATGGCAAAAGTATACTGACCGGTTATAACTAGGGCTGCCACCTCATCCCTTTAAAACCAAACACATATGACTTAGTCTAGGTTCACACCTATGCGTTTTCTGCTGCAATTTGCAGAAACGCACTACAGGCCATTTAACTTGATTTCGTATGGGACACGTTCACATCGCCACGTTTTCACCCGGTGCGTTTTTTGGAAAGGGTTCAACATGATGCTGTGCGGCACGTCGCATGTGATTCACAAAGGAACCTTCAGCATTCCTGTGCAAATCACATGCAATTTCTGTGCGGTGTGATTGTAGCCATACATTTTGTACAGGTCAAATCGCACTGCATCTGCACTAAAAAAGTGCAGGACCCTTTTTAGTCCACACCATAATCGGATCACATGGGTGTTCACACTCATGCGATCCGATTCTGCACATAGCACTGCGAACTGAGTTCGTGGTCTCGTTAACTTAAAATGCACACCCGCAATGGTTCGTGTGAACAGGGCACGATTATGATGTGGTGCGGAAATCACACAGAAAACAGTGCAAATTCCGCACCGCATCAGTGTGAACCCAGGCTCGGGCACTTTTTTAAATGCAAAATGTTGCGTTTTTGGTTCTATAGACTGTGTAAATGTGCAAAAACGCACCGCAAAACGCACTGCAGAAATAGATCAAACGCAAACTGCATAGGTGTGAACCTAGCCTAACTCTAGGTTCACACTTAAGTGTTTTCTGCAGAGTTTTGTGTTTTGCTTAAACGCAGTACAGTCCATTTAACATGATTTCCTATTGGACAGGTTCACATCTTTGCGTTTTCACCCGGTGCGGTTTTTGGAAAGGGTCAGGGACTTTTTTGAACGCAAAACGTTATGTTTTTGGTTCTATAGACTTCAATGGGAACGCTGCAAAAAAGCATATATTGCGTTTTTTCTGCATTTTTGCCGTGTTTTTTATGTGTTTTGTGTTTAAAATCTGCCTAGCAACAAGAAAAAAAAAGCAAAAATGCATCAAAAATGCAAGTGCAAAAACGCAAATGCACTGCAGAAACAGATAAAACGCAAACTGCACAGGTTCTGAGGCTAATTTAGGGCAGATAAGGCACTGGGTGAGTTTATTGACCACCTTAATCAGCCACAGAACCTGTGTCTCTCCCTTACTCTATCCAAAATGAAAAAAAAAACAAAAAACTTTGTGCCTCTAGTTCTACTTTAAAGTTACTGAAAACCAAAACCTATTTTATTCGTTTTCCAACTCTCAGCCTTTTTATTTTTGCAGAAAAAAAAATTCCTTTAAGTAAAAGCAATGTCTATATTGTTTCAATATTCTTTACAATTCGGTGTCATGTGTCACTGCTATAGATGATTCTGCCAAGATGACCTCAGAGGTTGAGTATGAGCTTCAGAATCCAACATTCCCAAGTAGTTTTCTTTGGGTGGATGGAAATCACTGGTATAACATTGTATTAGTGCTGTCTAGGGATATTATGACGTGTGCTTAAAAATCTTTTGTAGCTTTGGAATTTTAGGTGACAAATTAGTGATGCACTGATATATTGAATCCCAACCACAGCACCACACCTGCCTGGAGTTTGCACGTTCTCCCTGTGCCTGCGTGGGTTTCCTCCGGGTACTCCAGTTTCCTCCCACACTTAAAAGACACGCTGGTAGGTTAATTGGCTCCTCTCTAAATTGGCCCTAGTATGTGTATGTATGAATGTGAGTTAGGGACCTTAGATTGTATGTTCCTTGAGGATTAGGGACTGATGTTAATGTACAATGTATATGTAAAGCGCTGCGTAAATTGACAGCGCTATACAGTATAAGTACCTATAATAAAATATCGGCTGCCAAAAATTTTGGGCCAAAAATAGGGTTATCGGCGTTTTGCAAATAGAAAAAAAAGGTGCTGATAATGTTAATTGACTTCAATGCAAAATCACATCCCATTGACTTCAATGCAAAATCGCGTCCCGTTGACTTCAATGCAAAATCATGTCCCATTGACTTCAATGCAAAAATGCCCTCTATTGACTTCAATGCAAAATTGCATCCCATTAACTTCCATGCAAATATGTGCCCCCATTGACTTCAGTGCAGAAATTCCCCCTATTTTTGGTTTTGGTCCAAAATTTTCATTTCGGTGTACCACTAAAAATGTATGTATTATTGAAGCGCACACCCACATAGGGGCTGCTGGAAACAGACAGGTTCTACCTAGGTAGTACAGAAGCCACCACTCACACCAGCACATCAGCAATTAAATCTCAGCTTAGGGGATGTCTTTTTAGAATTTATTGTAGCAGAACTTTAAGACGAGGAGAGTTTGGGGTAACGGGATACTCCAAAATAGGGGTGCCAAACTCAATTTCATTGCGGGCAACATGAGTATTATGGTTGCCCTCAAAGGGCCGGTTGTATCTGTAAGACTAGATGTCCAGAGAACCCCCCCTTACATCAGATGTCAAGAGATCCCCCCACCATCAGAAGCCAAGTTCCCCATCCTCCTTACACCACTGTGCACTCCCTTACCTTGTGCTGCTGTAAGGGAAGAAGCTGGGGTTGAAGCTGGAAAACGGAAAGTGCAGGATCTGGAGGAGGACCAGAGGAGAGCTGGAGTCAGCTGCCGGAGTTTGCCGAATGCTGAGATCAGGGGAGGCAGAGAAGAGGGGGTGCTGCAGCTCCACAGAGAGGTGCTGGATCTGTAGGAGGAGTTCTGTCCTCCTCTTTCCTGCCATCTGCTGAGACAAGGTGGGGGCAGAGACGAGGGGGATGCCACAGCTGCAAGAGAGGTGACCAGACCACAAGAAATGGCCTGGCAGGGCTGGATTTGGACCACGGGCTTTGTGTTTGACAGATGTGCTCCAAAACATTCAGCAACAGCACCGGAGGACAAACTTCTCTCTTGTCTCTCAATATCCATTATCTGGGGGTAGGAGGGAATGGTAGGAAAGTCTAAGTCCCCCCATCTGCAGACCACAGGGCAATCTCCGGCCACCGATCCCTTCTGGCACTTGCATACCTAACAGTCCCCAGCAAGATCTTTACAGTCTGCTACCCAGCCTCCACCTCCACAGGTAGATCTATCATGAGGAATACAACAAACTCCAGACCAGGACTCTGAAGCAGTGTCCTTCAGCAGGTATGCCTTCTCAGCAATTCTCCTAAGGCCCAAATTCTAGTTTCTTGTCTCGGTGATGCTTCACCTAGGGGCAACAGCCCCAGGAGTACTGGAACCCCCTCTGACAATGAAAGAACAATCTATTCAGGCATCCTGACTATTTATCTCCTCCCTAGGCACCTTCTGGATGACCCTTCCAGGGATTGGCCAGGGTATGATAAATATTCAGCTGATCATCTGAATATACCTCCCTATGCTCTGGAAGCTTCTTCCAGAGGCAGGGGGAAGCAATCAAACTCTCAGCTCAGGAACCCTGAGCAGACCTAAATATTCAACAACCACTCCACTCACTACAGTAGAGCCAAACTAACACCTAACTGGAAGCAACCCTCCACTCACTATAGTGGAGCCAAGAACAAAATGTACCTATTTGGGAAGGCACTACACCATTAAGATTGCAGTGCACAAAAAATAGAAAGATAATGTCAGGAATGGACTCACCATTAGTGGTGGGACTCATCTGCCATGTGGGCTGCAGTACCAGCGGGTGCTCTCAGCAACCAGAAGCTCACTCCTGCAGTCAGCGATCACCTGAGGCTGATTGCAGGAGGTGTATTTAAGGAATGGCCAGACCTGCAGTCAGTGCCTTGGTGTATGTTTCCAATGAGCCCCTGTACCTGCATTCTGTCTGCTTCCTGCCTGATTTCACCTTGATCCTGACTCTGAATGAACGCCGCCTGTCCAGACCCCGGCTATTCCTGACCACTCTCCAGCCTGCTCCTTTGGTACCTTGTTTGCCTGATTGTTCCTGACCCGGCCCATCTGACTACGCTCTGCCTGCTCCTTTGTGTCTTGTCTGCTCGATGGTTCCTGACCTGGCCTGCCTGACCACTCCACCTCACCAGCCCTGACTGCTCTTGTCTGTGTACATTCCGTTATCAGTTGGAGGTTTGGTTTTGTTATATTGTGCGTTTATATTTGTATATAACCTTTAATCAATTATATTGTTACACCATACTTGAGCCTGCGTTTCCCTGTGTCAGTTCACACATCTCTGGTCTTACCGAGAGCCCTGACAGATAAAAAATTTAGTTCACCCAAAAACTTCATCACCAGGTATTCTTCATCACGTGTATTCTCAAATGACTCTCCAAAGTATTGGACCACACTGCTCCATTGGTCTTTTTGACCTAGAGTATTCCACTCAATAGGTGCAGCAACTGGGCTGGGCTGAGGCATCAGTTAAACAAATAGTTGTTGATGACAGTGTATATCACCTGTTCCAGCTGAAGTTTGATTTATACCAGTGAAGTGGCATTTTTATCTTCCAATTTCTAACTGTATTGTGCTCTGGGAATCATTTGCCATGTATTAAATGCTTACTTGTGTATGTGTAGCGCTACTCCCGTAGGAGTTGCAGGATTACAGTCTGGGTCTTCCCCAAAAGCTTTGCCCCGCAGCCAAGCACATAGGCTCACTAGTACATTTCTTCAAATGACTAG